AGTGCGGGGCGGCTGCCTGCGGGCCTCGGCCCGTGGGGCGGCCCGAAAAGCCGGCTGGATTGCGAGGTGGCCCCAAAACCTCGCTGGTGGGCGGGGGCAGAGGGTGGCGGGTGGGCGCGCTTTCCCCTTGTGGCCGTGGGCACTGGGTCCCATCTGCTCGGCACGGGGAGCAGAGAGGACCTGTCTCCTGGCAGAGGAGCGGTCCATGTGGATGGCGGGGCAGGCAGAGACCCCGCTGGCTCTGCGGGCAGCCCTGTGCTGGCGGGACCCCCGCGCAGCGGAGCGGCGGCCGGCCGAGGTGGGTGAAGCCGCGCCTGAAGAGCCCCGCTCCAAAGCGAGTGTCGGCGGATTATGTTGCACGCCTGTGACTGCTTGGATGGAGCAGCTGGTCCGGGTGCTTCACACACAGTTTCTTTACTCACCTCCGGGCGAGGGCGGGCTCTGCCGAACTCCAGGGAGTTTCGCCGAGACGCCCTGCGGGGTCCGCGTTCCACCGCTTCTTGGGAAGAGATCTTTTGCCATGGAGGTATTGTCTGGAACGCCTCTGGCAGCAGAGTGTGCCAGCCACCGGGGCTTATGCCTAGCTAAAATTGTTTTGCTGCAGAGCACAGAGACTCCGGGTGTTACTGCACACAGTCTCGCTTTGACAGTCTCTCAGTTTAGCCCTGGACTGACATCTCTGAAACTGCACAATAGGCAAAATTTTAGTCAGAAAAGTCAGCCTGTTTAAACTTAAAAGTTCAGATTGGAAATCCATTTTTACACACTTAAACAAATAACCCATCTTTCCAGAAACTCAGTGTGCTTCAAGAGAAACTTTTGAAAGGGAGGCTGTTTAATGAGCTGCTTAAGCATGTCTAACATTTGGCAGCCAGATTTGAAAAATCTGGGTACGGTATCTTTCTGAAAGTGTGACTCAAGCTACTCAGTTACAGCATCGTTTTGAAGAGTTTTCATAATTCTGAAGTCCTTTGTAGCATCCAGCATTCTTCAGTTAAATTTCTTAGGACCCCAAGCTTACTCATAAAAATAGGATTTTTTTTTTTTTTTAACTGTTACAATGCAAGTGACCTACATGGATTCAGTGGGATATCTCTGAGCTGGGGCAAGGATTTCAAAGCTATTCCTGGGGTTGATTTTGTGGGGTAGGGATTGTCTCTCTCTGTGTTTGTACAAGTGCTAAGCACACAGATGGTATTTAATAAATAATAAAGAGCATGGGCTTCTGATGGTGTATTTTGTTTTGAGAAAGAAAGAGGAGGAGACCCCGTTCCCCAGGAGGGGATTTTATACCCTTCTCACAGCTCAGCTATGAAATCCGGAGAGCACAGAAACGTGTTTAGCTGATCCAGACCTGACGGGATGCCAGAGGTGTTCTTTGAAACTCTGTGATCTGAGATGTAGAAGTTGAAATGGGAGGTTTGAAGTTAGAGGGTAAAGAGAGGAGGTGTAATTACAGGGTTGGACTCCCTGGCTCATCTGCTTGGAATTACAGAGCAGAGCTGAACCCTGGCTGGAGCAGGAAACAAATCAGGGCCAGTGATCAGATCAAAACAGCAGCTGCCAAAAGAGGATGAAGAAGGAAAATCATCTATTTCTTCCATCTGCAGTTGTATTTCACCAAAAAAACATAAACCCGAATTCTTGTAGAAATATATAACTCACTACCTTGTACATAAAGAAAAACACCTTGTTAATGTAGCTGTGCACAGTTTGGATCAGAGTTGCAAGTGTTTGGAAACTACTGCCCTCCTACAAACTTGAAAAATATATCAGTGGCATATAATGCACTGAAATGTAGCACGTGTAAATGTACTTACCCTGTTAGCTTTAACTTGGTCTAGAGCTATTCCTTCCATACCATGGAGTCAATAGAAGCATCTTTGGGTCAGCGGCTAGCCCAAATTGGTAATAAGTAAGAATAGCCAGCAATCCCAGGGAATTGCAGTGTTAAGCGTCTTTACAGCATGTGATGTTTTCTTTTTGCATTTCTATTGCATGTGGCAATTAAAGGGTTAAAATCGATTGAGTGTGGGTGCGTGGTTAAGGATTTTTAGGGCTTAAAGCTTTGTAACGCAAGTTAAAATGTCCTGTAAGGCTAAAGCTCCTGCTTTCATTACATTAAGATATGCCGTCTTTAACATCACTGAATCAAAGTTTGGAAAAACTTGTCCTCATTCATCAAAAACCTGTATAGTGTCATTAAAAAAAAAAAAAAAAAGAAAAAGAAAAAAAAGGTTTGCAACTGGAAGTTGTCCATTATCACTGTTTTCTTTGCTTAGACAAAAAGCCACAGAAGTTTCAAATGTCAAAGACTAAGATCATTCAGGTCCAGAAAACCTGATTAATAAGAGCTACATTCAAGTGAATTCAAAACAGCTTTGGCTAATTTCTTTTGTAAATGTAAACTTTTTTATTACAAATGCAGATGCAAAAGAGAAACTTTAGTCTATTTCTGATTATGCTACTCTTAGAGTAATGAATTAGAAACTTTAAAACAATTAGGTGATAACATCATGGAAATGGTTCTAATAAAAACGAGGAAGACAGGACTGACAGGCTTTTCAGAATGAAACTTTATGCTTTTAAAAGTTCTCTGGCAATATTGCTTAAGTTAGTTACAAAGAAGTGTTTTATTTCAAAACCTTTTCAGGTAAGTAATAAGTAAATACGTCAGAAGATATAAATACCCATAGCCATAAAATGAGCATATACTGTGCTCTGTGCAAAAGGCATATGTGACCTGTTGCCTCAGTTAAATAATGCATTTCAAAATCTGGAAGACAATAAGAGAAAAAGATGAGAGGGCACCCCGCTTTGTTGTAAGACTTCTAGAGTTTGCAGAGAGAGTTAGAAGATGGACTCAATTTTGTTCACAATTTTGTCAGTGTAAACTCTTTCACTCATCTTTGTAGCTTGACTGGGGGCTAACAGTGGCAAGATGTAGAGGTCATCAACAGAAAGGGTAGTGGTTTTTTATGCTTTGTAGGGTGCCTGTGGGAAGTAGGCTGTCACGTGATGGGGCCCAAAACTAGCCTCAACCACACTAAAGGCAAATACCTTGAGCTATTCAAATCAAGAGTAATATTTTATTATTGAGGTGATGCTTTAAGCCGATAGAGAGTAGTATTATATGTAGTGAGGATTATTAGCATTGTCTTTACTCAGGCACAAGTCCCATTGAAGTTAGGGGCAGTTCTGGAATAAATCCCAGTGCCAAGGTGTGGGTGGAGGACAGGGCATATGTCTCTGATAGATGTTTCTTTCAAAGAGGGAAAGACCAAACTAGCACTTATATTGAAGTGCACTGACATCCCAGCACTGCACCCACTCATGTTGGTGGCAGAGTTCCCACTGCCCTGAAGGGAGATGAGCTTTAACCCTGCAGGGTTTCATAAACAAGCCCACACTCTAGGCAGTGCTGTTTCACCTTGCTTGGGTAGCAGCAGCCATCCTAATTAAGACTTTACACTAAGTAGAGGTATACAGGCTTTTTGCTTGGTTCTCTGACCTCTTCCGAGATGGGGCACTGAGTAAGGACTGAACTGTAGGGACCTCTATGCTGGGCCTTTCAGCTTGGGGGGAGTTACCTTTTAGCTGTACCTTCTAAATATACTTTAGATCTCTCCTCAGGATCTTCCATTCTCTGAAACATTCAGTTTGTGTCTCTTTGGAAGCTGTATGTGGAAACTCTGTATGCACAAGAGAAGCAACAGATACATGTGAAAGGAAGTCATTGTCCTGTCTGCTTCCATGGCCATAAAACCCGGCTTTCCTCTCCCAACCCTTTTGTTTGTAGTAGCTAATTTAGGTCCCAGTCCTTCGAGAACTCTTTGAAGTTTCAAGTGCAGGGAAAACACTGGTAAACACAGATCAGGGCTTGGAAACAGGACATTATATTCTCCACGGCAATTATGTAAGTTTGCTGTAGCTAAAGGCCTGTCATGGGCATTATCTAACACTACCCCACATCAAGAAAGAGAGTAATCCAAATGTCTGTTTATTTAATTGTGCAGGGCAACTGCCCAGATAAGGAGAGCTATAAAGTTAATCCAACCAATTATTCTTTATCTGTTGTAAGGTTTTTCAAGTTTCAGGCAAGTTCTAACTTGAAAAGAGATTGCTGAAGGAGTAAAGCATGAATATTAAAATGTTTCTGTCAGAGATGAAGCCATCGCATATTTTGAACTTGTGCTATCACTCAGGGTTGTTTTAATTCATAATAAAATTGTGCTTGTCTGTATTTGCCAGAAGTTAAAAAAAAAAAAAAAAAAAAAAAAAAAAAAAAAAAAAAAAAAAAAAAAAAAAGAAGTGGTTCCTGCAGAGCAATCCCAGCCTAAATCCAGGTTTGAATCCTAATTTCAGGTAACATATATTCACCTATTTAGCAAAGGATGAACCTGCTGAACACCTGGTAGCTTTGAAATTGGTTTGAATCACTACACTTGGACATGTTTGAAGCCATGGCTTAGATTCTGGTAGAGGTGTTCATTAAACTGATTAAATCTAAACAGGTTAAGATTTAAGATTATTTGCCTTACACTTTAGCAGTCTGGCATAGCTGTGAACAGAATTTGGCCAGGGTGTTTAGGCACGAATTAAATTAAAACTATTTGTGTTGAAGCACAACTCTACTTATCATTATCTTTGTTGCAATTGTATTTGCATACTATGTTAAAGAAAACCAAAACATTTATTCTAGCAGCTTGCAGTTTTTTGCATAAATGTTGGCGGAAAGTTTTGCCATAACCATTTTTGAAACACGTTTGGGTAACAGGCTGCCAACAGATTGCCCTTTTAAGATTTGTATTTTACTCGCAGCTACGTGCAGAAATCTTTGAAGAACTTGGAAGTAACCTATCTTCCCTTAACAATTATTTTTATCTTGAATGGTTGTTCCCACATCAGATAGAGGTTTGTAAGCGAACCTGAGAGCCCGAAGCCCTCTGTCTGGTGTGGTGCATGCTCCTATCCATGTCTTACTGGAGTGGCAGCTGTACAGACCTCCACTCTCCCACTCTGATGGATGTTGCATTCTTCCCCTGTAAGGTGTGGTCTGTGAGGGCCTGGGCAGGGATCCCCAGTGAGCTGTAGCACCTCTTATACTGTATTCAATTACTTTGATGCTAAAGATGTGACCTACACTGCTAGAGCTTGATTTTGAAAGAGAAGCTGTATATCAGCTCACCATAAAATGCTTTTATTTTGCTTTGTTTTTCTGCCTGGCATTTCTGATGGATTCTGGAATTTTCATTTTCCTTTTGGACTTGATCCTTTATGAAAACAGACACTGTGGAGTGGGTGATACAATCGTATGATCTCTGGTTGTGGTCTAACTAAAATGAGAGCCAACCAGAGGCTTCACAAGATTACTGCTGTTGGTCTCATTTTTTGTTTGTTTGTTTGAAGTCTGTCACACTTTTGAGTAATAACATGGTGGGTGGATTTTGTTTTTATTTTTTTTAACAAGTGGGTAAGATTTCTTCACAACACACAAAAATTTAAACAGTAAGTCAGAGTCTTAGATATTCTCAGTTGAGTCTGAGATGCTCAGTCATGGAGATACTGAAAGCTACCATCTGTCAGTGCTGTAGGGAATAGCGGACTTGGATCTCCTTGAATGAAAGTAATGGCTCCAACTATGTTGCAACTGCATCTATGCTCCAAAGTGGGCTTCTAAAGACTCATTAAATCCTTTTCCCAGTTTCGTGAATGCCTGTTTTAACCCTGAGCCTTCCTGCAATGTCGTGTTTAACATGGCCAAATGGATCTTTTAAAATTAGTGACATCATCCCTGCAGGACCTAATTTTTGCAGAACAAAACCTCATATGCACTGCCAAGGATGGAGCAGGGGGACACTGCACTGCTTCTGAGCACCTGCTGTGAGGAAAAACACAGGAAGATGATGTTTGGTTTACTGCTCTGTGTGGGAAGCATATCTCCAGTCTTGTGTTTGATCTGCAGATGGCACAAGGGGAAGTTGCGTCTCCTTTGTATGGCAGTTATATCTACAGGCATATGTCAGTAATTACATAAGTGTTGAAATGATTACTTTGTAAGGAAGAAGTTTGTGCTAAATTAAGTATTTCCGTGCCCCAGCAAAGCAAACGTAGGTAAAGGTCCCATTGCTGTCAAGACTGTATTTCGTATTCTGATATTCGGGTTCCTATTGATATGATGTTGCTTAGCATTACTGAGAGCAGCCCAGAGGAGAAAGACTTTAGGGTCTTGCTTGATGAGAAGCTCAGTATGTCTTGGGAATGCATGCTCGCAGCCCAGAATGCCAAATGTATCCTGGGCTGCATCAAAAGCAGCATGGCCAGAAGGTTGAAGAGGGTGATTCTGCCCTTCTGCTCTGCTCTGGTGAGACCCCACACCTCAAGTACTGTGTCCAGCTCTGGGTTTCCTAACAGAAGAAGGATATGGACCTGTTGGAACGAGTGTAGAGGAGAGAAAAGAAGATAATCAGAGGGTTGGAGCACCTCTCCTGTGAACACAGTCTTAAGAGAGCTGGGGTTGTTCAGCCTGGAGAAGAGAAGGCCCTGTTCTAGTAGCATGTGTCCTTGCCCATGGTCGGAGGGTGTGGAACTCTATAAACTTTGTAGCTTCCAACTCAAACCATTCTCTATGATTCTATGTGTGTGTTTTCTACATCTGTCCCTCTGTCTCTGCAGCCTTCATTTTGTTCTCATGCCAGTCTTGATTACCTAAACTTGTTCTGGCCTTCATTTGTCACAGTTGAATGAACAGAGTGCCAAACAAATACCCTCTTTTCAGGTAGAGGTCTCTAAGGCTATTGATGCGAATCTCTCTTCAGTTCACTGGTTGCAAGTTATCATGTGCAAGTTGCAGACGGAACTATGTACATGTAACATGGAGAGCTGGGACACAACTGCTTTTTGAGCTTTATCAAGGAGAAGACACTGTATAATACCACATAAAGTTTGACTCCTTTTCAAGAACTCATTCTTTTCATTATTTCCTTCAGGGAATAATTGAGAATGTCTAATGTGGTTACTGTGTTTTCTTCTTTGATATATGCACATATAAGATGGTATCCTCCCACAGAAGGATTTTTGCTTGAAGAAATTAAATGCCTAAGTATGCTTACATGAATAAATCATTTCTAAGTGCATCTGTATTCATGAATCATATGACATGAGCTAGGCAAAATACAGCTGCTTAAAAGCAAGTAGTATAATAAATATGCCTTGGAAATAGTCACTTGAACAATTTCAAAACCTCCTCGTGGTGGCAGATTTCAAATACTTAACAGCTTCAAGAGGAAATGTAAATTTTCAGTCTTTTCCAGTATGAGATAATGTGTCTGCAGGAGACATCCTGTTGAAAGTTAGCACTTGGTGGCTACAACCTTTACCAGGTACCTTGCAGGCAGTGTCAGATGCTCTGAGCCTGTGTAGTCAGCTCAAGCAGAGCATTACCCTGCCTTGGCCATACCATTTCTGATGCTGGTTTACTGTTTCTGGCTGCAGAACAGGAGTTGTTTGGTGCTAACATGAGTGGCTCTGTTCAGCAATGTGAAAATACCTGAGAAGCCTTGACTTCCAGAAAGGGAGAAATACTGACCCCCTGAAAATCAAGCTTCTTGGAAGGGCATCTCGGATAGCATGCTCAAATATCAAAGCATCCCTAGTATTTATTACCCTTTAGAAAGCAAGGCCATAAATTCCCATTCACATTGAAGAATTGTTTGTAACCTGCAACAAAGCTACCAGATTTTCCAGTAGACTTTGAGAGGTTGTATTCATCAATCTCATTAAATCTCGGAATAATTTGGTGGTGAGCACTGTTTAGATTCAGGTATTTATTGTATTCTTTCTCATTGTTCTTTACCCTGTCTACTGGATAAGTCCTTGCCTCTGTTTAGCTTAGGAATTGCCATTTTTAAATGGCTGACATGTATTTATATTTTTAACAATGCCATTTTCCCAGGTGTTACCCAGGTTTCTTCCAGAAGTACTAAGACCTAGCCAACATAATGAATCACTGACACTTGTTTTTTTGTTTGTTTGTTTGTTTTGGAATAGGAAGTGGCAAAGGTTTAAGACAGTGTCTTTTTAATATCAAATGATATTGACTTTGTTTATTTGTGTGTAATTTCTGTAGCAATGCTGCACACTGCCCAAGCATGTGCCCAAGTGTCTGCATGGGGTCTGGGACATGAAGTGTAGGATCCTGTCTTAGGTGGCTCAGCACAGTGTAGGGTTGCACCATACACTGGTGATCCCCAACAGTGAAGTTTCTGAGCCTGGTCATCTAAGAAGGCACCAGAAAAGATGGGGATCAATCCCAGACTCTGCTTCTGGGAGTATGTTTCAGCAAGACGTCCCTTTCCTGAGATGGCTGCCCCAACTTTCCAGGCACTCAACCAACTGCTCCATCCACGCCATATCCATTTTCTAGCCCTCTGGTACTCAAATTCCTTCTGGCAATGTAACACGGTTTTCAACACTTTATGTAAAGGTTCATGTTTGTCACCTTTTAACCCCTAGATGTGTGTTTTTCTTTTGATCCATGTTTTCAAACATATCTAAGAGGAGGCTGTGCCTAAAAGAGTAAAGACACATTCCTTTTGAAGCTGTGTATTCATTTTGTTCAGTTAATATTTTGTAAGAGAACATGCTGGTGGATTTTGCATGTATACATTACTAGAAACCAAAATTACTGTGTGCTGGAGATAAAGTTAGCTTTTGAAATTCTTTTTCCCCTTTAAAATAAAAATAGTAGAATCTGCCTTTAATTGACCACCTCAGACATCACAGAGGCTTCCTGTGTGCAGAGGCTTTGCTTTTAATATCTGTTTTCCCTTGACTTTAAAAGAGTAGTCTTTATTTGCAAGTTTATTATAGAAGCGTTCAAATGAGAGGTGAACTGAAACTGCAAAGGCTATGTCTGGACCTGGATACAACTTTCTATGAGTTTGAAGGTCCAGGTTTTTGACTGTCCTGACCAGACATTACAGAGGTGTCTATAAAATTCATTTTCAGAGCCACATCTCCTGAGTGTGGAAACATAACACTTTGGTTCAAGTGTATTTGGTCCCTAGTGTATTTTGTAAAGTAAATTTATGTAGTGGAATATTAGTGGTCTGACAGAAAGGGAGAGCTTCCTGTGGTTTGGGTTTTTTTCAGATGAGAAAATAAATGTAAACAGTATTTGTCCAGAAACTTAACAATGCGAACAAATGTTATTCAACTCAAGATGTTCACAGTCTCCTTTATCATGTTGAAGCCCTTCTCAGGAGGGTCTAATGATATAATTTACACTTTCTATCACAGGGCTGGGAGAAGGTTCTGCTCTTCTTCACCCAGACAGCAGGTCCCACCCTCGGTCCTTGGAGAAGAGTGCGTGGAGGGCTTTCAAGGAGTCACAGTGTCATCACATGCTGAAACACCTTCACAATGGAGCTCGGATCACTGTGCAGATGCCTCCCAATATTGAGGGCCACTGGGTCTCTACTGGGTAAGGAAAGATAAAACAAGATGTTGGAGATGGGGAAGAGAAGAGGGTGAAGGAGCAGAGAGGGAAGGGTAAATATTCCCACTTTAAGCCTCAGGGGAAATATTTTCTTTAGTATGGTGTTGCTCTAAATTCCAGATGCTCTCTATTTGCTTATGCATAAAAGGAGAAGGAGTAGCATTATGTACATTAGAATAGCATGCTATAAAGCTGTCTTGATTAATCAATTTATTGTCTGGATTTTAAACAGCATGCTGTGAAATATCTTTAAATCTCTCTTTGAATAGGAAGGAGCCTACCAACTTGTCAAAGTGGATGCTTATTCAGACATGACATTGTACTATATTTGTCTGCATGCATTAGATCCATTGAATGAGTACTTATTTTCAGAGCATGTGTCTAGCACAGGTTTTATTAGCAAAAGAAAATTAAGGAGCTGTATTTCACTAGTTCTGTAACTCTTTATACATGATGACTTGTAATTGAGAGAGCCTTTTTGCTTCCTGTGTCTCAGTAGACAGTATTCACATGCTCTTCTGAAGTGACTCTTAGTAGGAAAGACTGGGAGAGGAATAGATGTTTAAAAGGCTGCTACTTTTTTCAGTGAAGAATTGAGTCACATGGTAGTCCTAAACAAAAAGAAAAAACAAAGCATGATTCAAAAGTATTCAAACCTAGAAGATAAAGCCTTTAGATATGATCACATGAAGCAGTGCATTAACAGCAGCAGAGGGAATTATTGATTAATTGTCAGGCCACAGATGACTAGTTCCTGTTTACTCCCACTCACGCCGGGGGGGGGGGGGCATTAGCACCCAGGTGTCTCTGGGTACGGGTCTTGTTGTCTGTAGTGTACATGATGTGCCACCTCGCTAAAATTTTCTTTCCACGCTTTCTTTCTTCCCACAGCTGCGAAGTTAGAGCAGGCCCAGAGTTCATCACAAGATCTTACAGGTTCTACCACAATAATACTTTCAAGGCCTACCAGTTCTATTATGGTGGCAATCGCTGCACAAACCCCATCTACACATTAGTTATACGTGGCAAAATACGCCTCCGACAGGCGTCCTGGATCATCCGAGGGGGCACGGAAGCTGACTATCAGCTGCGCAACGTACAGATCATATGCCACAACGAAGCAGTAGCCAAAAGATTGGGTGAGTTGGTGAACCACACGTGTCCTGGATTTATCCCAGAAGACAGTCCCTGGGAGCAGGATGTGAGCTACGATTTGCTGAGGGAAGAGAATGGCTGTGAATGCACCAAAGCTCTGAATTTTGCCATGCACGAACTCCAGCTGATCCGTGTGGAGAAGCAGTACCTGCACCACAATTTAGACCACCTTGTGGAGGAGCTATTCCTCGGAGACATTCACACTGATGCTGCTCAGAGGAGGTACTATCGGCCCTCTAGTTATCAACCTCCCCTTCAAAATGCCAAGGTAAGTGTGTGTGTGTGTGTGTGTGTGTACATATGCCCTCTTTTTGAGATACTGGTGGCAAAGCCCAAATTATTCAGTTCTTCTGAGTGTTGTAACCTAAAAAGTAGATGTGCTTCTAATATAAGTGGTCCATTGCAGCCTTACCGATGATGTAGCCAGTTAACAAAAGATCACAGAACTTATTTTGTGAGAATAGTAACTTTGCTGTGGTTTATGTGACTGCATTAAATATGCAAAAAAGATGTCTGGTGAACTGAGGCCATTAAAGGCCACTCTGAAGATGGGAATCAAAAACTTGTAGGCAGAGATGGGAGTGGATGGCCGGACCGTGGCTGTAGGCTAGCAGCTGAGAAGAAGGTTTCATATAAAACTGAGAAAGGAGAAGAGGAACAGGCATCAGTGGATGCTTATATAGCTGTGGGAGTGCCAGGGAGAGAGGAAATTGAATTCCATCAGCGTATGAAGGTTGGGCAATCCATAACCTGAAGAGGAGAAGAGGAAATTGGAAGGGGCAGCATGAAGGGTAAAAAAACTGATGGGCTGTGCAGGTCGTGGATCCAGATGCAGGCATACACATTAATGAAATGAGAAACAGGTGAATTTTGAATGGGGCTGTAATTCCATTTGATAATTCAGTTTTCAAAGGGGCCTCAAAGTGCCCTCCGCTTCACTAGGAAGTGATCAACCCATAGTAAGCTAAATAAAACTCAAACAGAATGAATAGACACTGATGGCCTGTAGCAGGAAGGCTGTCTATAGATCTTTCCTGGTGACATTTCAAAGGCAGGCAGCAATTGGAACCACATTGCCAGGTGCTGCTGCCGCTGTTGGTGTGCTCCAGCTGGGTGCTGCCACAGCATCACTTCCAGCTAATGGGTTACCACCATTTTTAATCACCTACTCACAAACAGTTCAAAAATCAGCTCCAGCTTATCAGCAATAGCAGGAAACACACCAGGGGAAGGGAGAGTTTTGATGAAAAAGCCTTGGCTTTCCTTTCCATTCTAAACCATGTGTTGTGTCTGCCTTCTGTGAACATTAAATTTCAATAGTTCAGGACCTTATGTGATCTGCCTTTATTAATTGTTTTATAGCCTGCCCTAGGGATCATTTTAATCCACAGTCAACTGTGTTTCTGTATCAAAACTGTTGCCATTTCTGTCATCTTTATGCTCTCTTCAAGTCACCATGGGCAAATTTGAATTTTCTTTTTAAACCTATTTATCTTCCCGAAGTAGAGAGTTTCAGCAGGAGCAGGTGAACCACAGCACAATCCTCATCAAAATTTTGATTTTCTTTAATTAATTAAATAAGCATGTCAACTTTCACTTTACTTATTTGGGAGTGAGGGTTCTTTGCTAAATCTCTTCCCTGAAGGTATCTGCTGATAGAAATTATCAGACACCAGCTATACTGTATCTGCTCTAGAAAATATTGTGCATCTTTTTCTGACCACATGAAGAGAGACAAAATCTTGATTTAATTCACTGTAGCTGAGTATTTTTTCTGGTCTAATCTACTTGTCTTATTATGGGCTGATAGATAATGTAGTAAATGCCTACACTTCTACCTTGTAGTAATTTCATTACAGTCAGAACAGTCCAATATACACTCAGCCAGCTTTATGAAATTAGGCTTGTCATCCAGGTCTGCTGTAATTTTAGGACAAACTGGTAGTGATTCTCCTGCCTATCTGTTCTGCTACTGTAGCATCTCTTTTCCCCTCTAAAATATAGTGCCTTTAAAATACAATTCTCAAATTTAAGGGGTCAAATCTTGCATAAAAGGCCTGTTTCTTTTGACAGGTTAGCTAAATAAACAGTGAAAGCACTGATACTCTCATTTATGTTCGCAAAGCCCAATATTTCAGGCATGATCCAATCCATTCTGACATGAATGGGTGACACCTCTACGTAGAAGAAAAGAGCAGGCTCAGCCTGCCTGCCTGAGTCACCCTACACACTGTTACCCTGCAGCCCCAAATGTCCAGATGGTCCTGAGCACTCCAATCGGGAGAGCCTGCAGTGTGGATCACAGGGGAGGCTTCCATGTCATATATTTACAAGAACTGGGGGAAAGGAGGAGTGATTTTTGGCAACCAACTCTTGTCAAGGCTGAATCATTGAGGCTGAATTTATGACACTGGAAGCCCATTCATAACAGTACTAATGGTGACAGAAAGTGCCAATACTGTACAAAGCACAGCTTAACTCAGAGTACATCCAAATACATACAGATTCCAGCTCTCCATGATGAAACTGAGTAGTTTAATAAATGGGGCCCCCAGGCCGTGACTTGCAGGCTACTGCTCAACTCCCATTTTGGCCAATTATGACTTCTGGCGAGTTAGATTACTTCTTTTTCTCCTGCAGGCATTGTCTGCATGGTCTGCTTGGTTCCTACAATGTATGTATAGCATATATAAATATATATATATATATGTATAGCATCTGGATTGCTGGAATACCAGTCTCAGCTGGAGCCTTCAATGGCAAAAGATGTGTAGGTGTAACACAAGTTTTGAGTGTGCAACAATGCAGCTTCTCTTAATGTTTTCTGGAAGGTGCCTCATGCTCAGATTTGACATGAGATGTCTTTTCTCTCAGGGGGATCTGGGCCTGCTTGTACTAGGCTTTCAGTGCGATATAAACACCAATACCCCTAAACAATGAACCTTTGCCTTAGCTGCCATGAAAGATCCCAGGGTGTTGATTTGTACCTAACCGTGAAGTCCTTTATACCAGCAGGTTCTCAACTCGGCTGTCTGACCCAGTGTTTGCCAAGTGTAGGAAGAATAGTAACAGAAGTGCTTTTTTTTTTTAAAGAAAAAGGGTCCAGGCAAACATACCGTTGAAAGGTTATAACCCTTCTTTTTTGAACTCTTTTCCTTTTCTAATTGTTGCTCCACTGGGACCCAGCTGAAAATGAGTTTAAATGCTAAATTGAGTTTAAAACTACAAGTCACAGACTCCTCTGGAAACTGGACACCATGAATAAATAGAAACGTTAAATCAACTTGTTTTTTTAAGGTTTCCACAGTCATACCAAGAGGCTGGGGAGGCCAGGAAATTGCCTCTGAAGTGAATCAGGTGTATTGTGTGGAATCTTTCATTTAAGGCTTTTTTCATTTCCTTTTTATTTATTTATATTTTAGACTCATAAAGGCCTGCCTAAAATAAGTTAAGAGGATTCACATTTTGAGTTAAATTTATAGTTAAGCCTCTATATAGAAGAAAGTTCCACCCAGCTCAGGAGTTTACACAGCCTGTAAATTGGATGTGGTAGCCACATTCATTACTTGTGTGGTTGAAATGAATGGTAATTAAAAGCAAATGATTGCTGGATATGTTAGGAATGCCAAAGCCACATGATCAGGACTTTAAGCAAATACAGTTGGACCTTATCCAAATTCCTGCAGTGATTTCACCACAGGATGGTAAATCAAAAGGGCTGTCCAAAAACCAGACAGCTTTATGCTGAGCTACAAATCTGAATAAATTCAGAGATTACAGTATCTCAAGTGTTCATATAAAATCAGGGAGCTTTTAAAAACATATAATATGTCATTTCTTAAGGCTTTACAAATTCTCTTAGATAAGAGCATACCTTTAACAAATTCCTCCCATAAAATACATGGAAGTTCCTGAGGGCAAATGATGAATAGATCACTATATAGATTTATCTTAGCTGCTTCCTAACCTGGCTCAAGATATTAGTTAGGACTGGCTGATGAATGGAGATAAACATCTTTGATGTCTCTTGGCGTTGCAAGTGTATCAAGTGATTCAAGCTATTGCCCATGAAGCTTCTTCAGTCAGCCTGAGAGAGCACATGGGTGGAAAGGGCAGGCTGGGGAAACTGCTTGGCCATCATTGTGCGTACTACAAAAAAGGTTCCTGATTAGGATGACACCAAGGAGGCTGCATGATTAGTTGTAAAATCACAAATGTATACAGGGCTTGTAGCGTGAAGGAAGGCTTGAATGCAGTATTTGTTCACTGTGCAGCACAGAAGATGTTTTCAGAGATGTCTGCTCCAAACTACAGAAAATGTGTGCAAGAGCAGATCTGGGAGACTTATTTCACATGTAATTGCCTCAGTAATATTGCTTTGTAAACAAAGAACTCCTTGTGTTATTCTATCATCTGGCAGAGTAACAGGAAAGATCAGAGCAGGACCATGATGACCGGTCATTCTAGTTAGATCATTATTTGGGAATAAGGCCGGAATTATCTGGAACATCACAAGAAGCCTAGAAAGTGCCAGGATAACCTTCACTCTTTGTCATGCTCAAACATTTCCCTTGAAAATGTGATTCCAGTGGATTAGTTGTCTATTGCAAGTTTATTCACCTCTGGGAGATGCCTTCCAGCAGTAACTGGCATTTGTAGCTAATACAGATTCAGTGTATGGAGACTGGTGTTTGGGCTTTCCTTTAGCCAGGTGGTGAAAGAACAAAGTGTGCAAAGTTTTCTGTGCTTTTCAGAATTTGAGTCTTCATCTCTTTGAAACGCAGTGACTTCATCTATAGGGGAATGTTACGTACTTGAGGAGCTCACAGGGACATGCAATCATAAGTTAATAAATAGATGTTCAACATGTGAAGCACCTTAAAGAAATATGTGAAACATTATCTCAACCAAAAAGTAAAATTTTGGCAGACAGAACTCCTTTGTTTGCCTGAGTAGTGCCACTAGACTTTTTGGATTAAGCCAAGACTTGAAGGGTTCCTTTTGTTCATTATTACTTGAAAAAGGTTCTTGGTTGGGGAAATTGTGGGGGGGAGCAAAGAAAGAATATTCAGAAGAATGTTCAAATAGTTAAATTCCAGGTTTATGAACAGTGACAGTGTGTGTTGTGCCCTGCAGAGATGAGAGAAGCAAACAACTTCTAGCTGAGGTTGGTCCTTGCCGTGCTTGGCAGCGCTGTCGGCTGTGGCCCGAGTGCTCCTTTGAAGCTGCCACATCTGCACTTGCCACTGTCTGTTCTGCAACTCCAGT